TTCAACAATAGATAAACTGCACACTCAGTTTACACCATATACAAAGAGCAACTCAAAATGCATCACGGACCTAATTATAAACACTAACACTATAAAACTTCTAGGGAGAACAAAGGGGAAAAATCTTAGTGACCCTGAGTTTGGTAAAGATTTCTTAAGACAATAAAAAAAAAGAAAAATTAATAAATTAGATTTTATCAGAATTAAAAACTTTAGCTTTGCCAAAGATACACTATTAAAGTAAAAAGAGAAGTCACAGGGAGAAAATATTTTAAAATGTACATCTGACAAAGTACTTATATTTAGAGCATATAAAGAACTCCAGTAAGACACCCAGTCAAAGAATGAGGGAAAGATCAGAGCAGACAATTCACCAGAGAAGACACACAGACGGCAAATACATGAAAAGATGCTCAACCTCATCAGTCACTATAGAAATCCAAATTAAAACTACTAGACAGTCACTAGGACGGCTAAAATTAAGACTGGTTAGCAAGCACTGGGGAGACTGCAGGACAGGAACTCTCAGACCTGCTGATGGGAATGTGAATGGTGTATCCGCCTTGGAAGCAGCAGTGTGGCAGACTCTCTCTCTCCACCCCCCACCCCCCCCCCCCTTTTTTTTTTTTTTTTTGAGAGGGTCTCACTCCATCACCCTGGCTAGAGAACAGTGGCTGGATCATAGTTCCCAGCAACTTCAAACACCTAGGCTCAAGAGATCCTCCTACCTCAGGCTCCCAAGGAGCTGGGACTACAGGCCTGCACCACCAGCTGGGCTAATGTTTCTATTTTTTGTAGAGATGAGGTCTCATTCCTGCTCAGGCAGGGATGGAACTCCTGGGCACAAGTGATCCTTCCTCCTCAGCCTCCCTGTGCTAGGATTATAGCCGTGAACCACTGTCTCATATAAGGTGCTATGCTCTCAAACCTTGGCAGTCTGTTAATATTATACACCATCGTATCATCCAGCCATTTCTCTCCTAGATGGAATTCGCCAAAAGGAAATGGAAGCCTGTATTCATATAAACACTTGTACACTAATGTTCACATTACCTTTATGTGTAATAGCCAAAAAGTAGAAAGAACCCACATGTTCACCAACAGACAGATGAATGACTGGCAGGACAGCCAGACACGGGGATACCTCTGAACTACAACTACACACATCACCTCAGACAAAACAAAAGAAAGATATTTCCAATAGAATTCCCACTGGACTGGCTCTCTTCCTACCGCTAGGCCCTCGACTGAGTGATGCTCTAGTCTAACCAATGATAACAGTCCAAGTTCTTGACAGCTCAAGTTACACATTTTTTTGTGGTTACCTAATACCCTCCCCTAAGTGATTTAATGCACACTTATGGCTTCAACTAAGAGATACCCAAATAGATACCTCAGTTTGGACTCCTCTTCTGAACTCTAGATGCAAACAGTCAGCTGCCAACTTGGCCTTCCCTCCCGATGTCTCAGTGTCCCCTCACCAAGCCCATGACACATAAGCACCCCGCACGGCAGGTCTGCTTTCAGTGTTCCCACATCAGCGTTACACCCTTTCCTGTTATCTGCTTAAGTCAGAAACTGAAAAGGTGACTCTGACACTTCCCTTTTACCCAGAACCCCCACACCGTCCATCACAAACTGATATGTTTATGGTCCATTTTGAGTCCACAGATCTGTCTTCACCTCCTTCACCGCTTCCTAGAATAAGGTACCACCATCGTCTCCCCTGTAGATTATTGCAAACTGCTTTCCAACTTATCATCTCTCACCACTCTGGCCTCTTCCAATTCATTTTAGACCTGTAGCCAGAGTATTCCCAAAATGTCAGTCGATCATGTTAATCCTCACCCCCCCGCCCCCATGCACAAGCCCTCAACTGCTCTCCTGGTGCTCAGCATGAAGGCAGACACAAGGCCTGTGCTCCTGGGGCCTCTGCCTCTCCACCCTCAGTCTGTGCCACACTCCCCACCCCTGCGTTAGACACTCCCGGGCTTCTCTTCACATAGTCGTAGTCACCACATTCCACCGTCCCTTTGCCCCTCTGCTGAGGAATCTCTCAGAACCTCTTTCAGATTTAACTTACCTTTATTTACTCATGTCAGATGTTCATGACCTCCTAGACAAAGTTATTAATAAATATTCCCCTTATAAACTTTCATGATACTGTGCGTTTCCCCTCTGTAGCATTTGTCAAAATGGCCATATTGTTCTCCTGGTTAATGCAAATCCGGTTTTTTCCCCATGTTACAAACTCTGAGGGTGGACACCATGTCCATGTGGTTCATCCCTGTATCAGCAGTGCTGGATACAAAGTGCCATTCAACAAACATCCACCCGACAAACAAAGCAGTCAAATGCCGGGAGGCTGGATGTACCGGCCAGCGGCTTAAAGCAGGTGCTTTGCAACAGTGCGGATGAGGCCACAGGTTCCACGTGGAATGTAAGAACACAAACACAAAGGAGTATGTCCTGTAGGATTCCACCTGTCAGACGTTCAGCAACAGGCAAAACCAGCGTAGAGGACAGTCACTGCTCCTACGCCAGCCTCCCGAGTAGCTAGGGCTACAGGTGTGAGCCACCACGCCTGGTGAAGTTTTTTCATTTACTGTAGAGACAAGGTCTTCCTGCAGGAGGGAGTTAATGAGGGGAACCACTGGGTTGCCAGACGTGCTCTATCCCTCAACCTGGGTGGTGGTAATGGTGACACACACGCACACACAAAGCATCTGGGGGGGTGGGGGGTGCTTTTCTGCATGTGACATAGCTCAAAAAAAGGAATAAGGAAAACAGAATGGCATTCTGGAGGAAAAGCCAGAAAACTAAGTATTGTTAAGAAATATTCTCACAATACTCTGGTCAGTTACAACAATCACTTGAATACAATGTATGTTACAATCTTATTTTTCAACTAATTAAGTTTTTCATTATAAATAGACAAATTATATACAAGAGCTACTGTAAACAGGATTGTTCTCTTGACTTCTTTTCCAGGTAGTCCACTCACAGTACATACAAATGCCACTGAGTTTCGTGTGTTGATTTTATATCCTGCAACTTTACTACATTCGTGTATTAGTTTTTAAAGTTTTTGGTGGGCCCTTTATGGTTTTTTATAAATAATTTTGCATGATCAGGAAACTGTGACAATTCACATCTTCCTTCCATCTGGTGCCCTTCACTTCTTTCTCTTACTTCACTGCTCCAGCAAGGACTTCCAGGACTGGGCTGAATAGAAGTGGTAAGTGTGGGCATCCTTGTCTTATTCCTGAGATTTCGTTTTGATAAAACAATACACATATACATCCTTTCTTCTGGTTTCTGCAAGTGATCCTACTTAATGTAGCTTAGGTAAAAAATTCACAATTGACACATACCTGGAGAGTTCACTTAGCTAGACCCACACACCCACAAATCATTTCTATTAGAAACTTTGGTGAAACTCTCCAGACTAATGGAAGGCAAAAATTTATTTGGCCACCACTTAGAGGTTACCATGAAAATCACAAGGTCACTCTTCTCAGAGTGCTAGAACCGGGGCAAGCCAGATTTCAAGTAAGCCTTCTTGAGTTCCATCAAAAAACCTGTATGTCTGTGTCTAGAGAAATGTCCCACAAGTTACCAAAATAAGGGAAAACAAGCTACAGTTTCTAAACACTGAGTCCTCATTTCTAAAAGCAGATTCTCTGAAATGTAGGTGTCTGAGCTACTTCTCGGATAGGCAACTCTATGTAGCTAACTACAAACTAAGTAACCCTAAGAATTCATTTAATGATGATACTGATTCTCAACAGAACTGCCAGACATCCCAGGTCGTCATAAATAGCATCAGGCCAACAAGTGCTCAGAACTTCAAAATATATTAACAGCAGGCCGGGCGTGGTGGCTCACGCCTATAATCTCAGCATGTGGGAGGCTGAAGCGGGTGGATCGCCTGAGCTCACAGGTTTGAGACCAGCCTAAAACAGAGCAAAATTCCATCTCTTAAAAATAGCTGGGCGTTGTGGCAAGTGCCTGTAGTCCCAGCTACTTGGGAGGCTGAGGCAAGAGGAACACTTGAACCCAAGACTTTGCGGTTGCCGTGAGCTAAGATGCCATGGCACTCACCAAGGGTGACCAAGTAAGACTGTCTCAAAAATAAAAAAATAAAAAATAATAATTATATATATATAAAGTAGCCCCAAATTACACCAAACCCAATGACTTCTTAAATTCACACATCATGATTAAAAAAATTACTAGGTCATAAGTTGACTGCCATATAATATCAACTTTTCAATTATTATGTTTTTGAAGTATTTAGAAAAAACAGAATCAGGTATGTTTTACATCATTCAACAAAGGTGAGTCTCCACAATGCTGAGTAAAGCATGACAAATTGCTGAAATTTGACCATTTTGACTTATAAAGAACAGCAATTTCATGTGGTGTAGCCAAAAACTAGGCATCTTCCCAGCTGCCAAGATACAGCAGTGAGTAAACAAATTCCCCAGCTCCATGTGAAGCTCACATTCTGTGTGTGTCTGGGGTGGCAGGAGGCAGATAAATAACCAAATACGCAGAGTATCAGATGGTGTCTCATCCTTGTGAGACGAACACAAGAGGTTAAAGGGGGGAGAAGGTATAAAAAACTGGCTGTTGCTATTTTATGTGGGTGGTCAAGAAAGGCCTCACCGATAAGATGACATCTGAGCAAAATCTTAAAGAGGGAACAAGCCTCTCAGGTTCTCCTACAGTGGCAAAATCCAGCCACTAACGTGAAAGTTTCTAATACAAGAACAAATAATTCTGCTAAAACCATTGGAATATGGTAACAATCACAGTTTTAATTACACTGTAACCAATCTATAGCAAATAAGTACCCGTCATTGAAATGATTGCTGTTGTTTACAGTTCCTACTCTACATGCAAGTTTCGTGTAAGCAATTTCTTTAATCCTTGTTTTCATTCCAATAAATACCCATGTCTAAGAACATACATAAAGACAAGCAACACAGTCTTACATCTTTTGAAGAACCTGGGCCATCACAACCCCATTCGTTAAATCTTCCACAGTCTGGCATGGTGCATCCACATTAAACGTCTGGATCTGAAAGAAAAACAAGGGGGGGAAGAAGTTCTGTGGTTACCTATGTAGATTTCTTAGGCTTCTTTTTGTGATTATCTCATCTTGGGGGTTGGAATAAATTTTAAAAAGGAAAACAGTTGGAAAATTTTTCCTTTATGGGACATTTCTTGCAGATCATTATTGTGATTTCCCCCCAATCACTTTCTTCTCTAGTAAAAAAGAAATTGTGAAGGACACTGAGTAACTTTCAGCCTGGATCCTACTGCCAGATGACCAATCTCAGAAAATCGTGCCGCCTTCATCCCATCCTCAGGGACATGCAAGGCAAAAACAATCTGGGCCAAAGAGATATAAGCAGATTATTTCTGGGAGAGAAAGGTCAACTTTCTCTTGACGTGACCAAGAAAGCTCCCTATACTACTGCTGGCTTTGTGTTATGACCACCAAGAGAATCAGTCGTGAGGTGAGGGCAAGGCAGTGAAGGGCAGAGGAGGAGGACAGAGAAAGCTGGGCCTTGAGCTAAAAACCAAACCACTGAATTAAAATACCTTGTATCCTCCTATTACGTGAGATAAATGTCTAGATTGTTTAAGCCTGCCTAGATTTGAGGTTTCTGTTACTCAGAACCAAAACATAAAGATGCAGAAGTCACACTGACTATAGATTATCAATTTGTTTTTATTTCAAATATATTCTAAATAGAACTTTGTACCTGTCAATATAACATGGCCAAGAAACGTTATCCTTTTCCCAATAGGATAATTTTTCTCTAAAAGAAAATGTAGCTGAGTCAACAATGCTTATACCCAGTAGTACACCCAGGGGTTGTAAGGAAATAAATCACTGAGAACAGACAGATATAAGCCATCCTCTCAGGGGATGTAGTAGTATAAGAAGAAGTGTAAAAAGCAAGCACAAGGACTGGAAGTGAGAGTGAGATGCAACCAAGGAATGAAAAACAGCTTGGTACGGATTGCGGGAGGTGAGGATAAGAACTGGAGGAAGAGGTGGAACAGGACAAGTAAAACAGCCAAAGACGGCCAAAAACCAAGCAGCACCTTGCCCGTACATTAGGCCAAAAACCAAGCAGCACCTTACCCGTACATTAGGCCAAAAACCAAGCAGCACCTTACCCGTACATTAGGCCAAAAACCAAG